ATTTGGGAAAATAAAAATTATTTGAAAAGAAAATTGTAATATTTTTTAATCAATTTTCTACACCCAACAAAAAATTAATTCGAGGACTCGAAAGGATTAAGACTAAAATAAATAGACATAATACGTCTAAATTATTTAACCAAACCCGTTCGAATATATATATATATATATATATATATATATATAGCAAATAAAGACAAATTGAAAGACAACTTGAAACGGTGTGAACTTTGATTTGAAAACCTGGGAAACCCAAGCATCAAACCGAAAGGAATGGCGTATGACATGTTTCATTAAGTTGAAGGGTTTTGAAGACAGTAAACTGAAGCACCATGATCAGCTTCGTTAAGCAGAGACGCCATCAAAATCCGGCTTTAACAAATTACATCTATCAGTGTAACTTTGTCGCCCGATGCAAGGCTTGGCTAGTATCACACTTAAGAAAGCACAAATGAGATATGTATTTCCCTTGCCTGGTTTTCTCTACAATGTAGAACAATAACGTCGTCAAGATAAACACTCAGTTGTGGAACAAGCTGAGTGAATGAACACTCCACCTTGAGAATGAGAGCTATTTATGGTGCCATGGAGCATCTCATTGTGCTCAAGTGGGATAGTCCATTGCTTGGGCCGTGATTGGCTGATGGTACCTGTGTGGAGGTATTTCTGTATAAATACCAGCTTGATTCCAGTCAGTTGGCAAGGTTTGTATTCAGTTGCAGCCTGCTTTATTTTTGTCTGCCAGTTGGACGCTAGCTGGGACTCTTACGCCGGTAAGTGTTGTTATTCTGTTGTTATTCTACACACAATAGCTTACCTGTGTATGCAAACTAATGCACGTATATGTGGTTGCTAATTTAGTTATTTGATTTATCCACATAAATACATATATATATATATATATATATATATATATATATATATATATATATATCTTCCAACAGGATTGGTTAAATAATTTAGATGTATTATGTAAATGTATTTAAGTTTTAATCCTTTCGAGTCCACGAATTAATTTCTTTGCAACTATAGAAAATTGATTAAGAAAAATAGTTTAAAATTTTTATTTCACATAATTTTATATATATATATATATATATATATATATATATATATATATATATATATATATATATAAATAAAACATTAGGCATAAATTTATATACAAAGAAATAATAGCACATAGAATCAATCAGAAGTATTAATCTGATTATTGGCGATATCCATCGTTAAAAACATAATATATGCATTAAAATACTGTTAATCCATAGAGTGAAGTGATCCTCGTCGATAAACTTGATGTCTGTAGTTTTCAGTTTATTTGGTGTTAGTTTTTTATAGGAATTTATGGATTAACAGTATTTTAATGCATATATTATGTTTTAGCGATGCATGTCGCCAATAATCGCATTAATACTTCTGTTTGATTCTATGTGATTATTTTTTGTATATATATATATATATATATATATATATATATATATATATGGTGCGGTGGATAGTTGTCGTCTAAATTACGCAATGATTAAGATAACGCTGATATTTCATTTTAACAGATATATTTACCTAAATTACACAAAAATATCTTGAAATACTAAAGAGTGAATTTATTCAATAAAATCACGATTAGCTTCAACCACGGCCTCCAGACCACGTCGGAATCTCCTGCAACTGTTCTGGACGGTCTCCTTGTTTAAGTTGGTGTATGCTGCCATAATCTGCCTTCATTTCATCTTTGGTGTTACAAAGAATTTTTGGGGGACTCTCGGTCAACTGCGCCCCACACATAATAATAAAAGGGGTTGCAGTCTGTAGAGTTAGATGGCCGATGCAAGGGGAGATGTGGTCACAGAAATTATCTGAAAGCCATGACTGTGGCATAGTGCAGAGTCCTGTTGCCAGGCATAGTGTCTTTATATTTCTTCACACAGGGCAGCACTTGATCTAGGCGTCCGTGTTGAGTCTGATGCCTTGTGGGAAGATGAATAGAGGCATAACGTCGAAATCACTAGTGATCACTCCAAACACCTTCGAACTCACCATTAGACTCATCCAACTCTTTCAGCGTGCATTTTTGAGAGTATTCGCAAAAAATGAACCAACATATTTTCCTATATTATTAAAATAATTGTCGGACTTAATCCATTTCATAATATATATATATATATATATATATATATATATATATATATATATATAGAGAGAGAGAGAGAGAGAGAGAGAGAGAGAGACCGAGAGCGCGCGCGAGGGAGAGAGAGATGATTTCAAAAGATTAAAAATAACTAGAAAAAAAGTATGCCCAAAGGCGACCGGATACAGGGAGAAATTCCAGAATTATGAATTAGTTTAATTCTCCATTTTGCATAAAGTGTTTTATACATACTCTAAGAGTCGTTACATGATATTATTTGAGATGACATCTTAGATGTGCTATGAGGTGAATTTTAGACAGACAAAATAAATAATAAAAAATTCAGACGAATAAGGATAGAATTATGACATGATCTTGGCTGGCGAACGTCTCTGGCCTTTAGCCACGTGGTATTTTGCCTTCGGCCTGAAAATTGTACGCTTTCATGTCGGACAAAATGACTGACGGGCATCGATCCTGGCCGACGAATTATGCACGCTTGCAGGAATTAATTGATTCATCAGCTGACACCTGAAGAATGAAAGAAGAAGAAAAAGAAGTGATGAAGGAAAAAGGGAAATCGAATAATCAATGAAGAAGTGAAAGAAGAAGATAGAAGTAGAATCGAAAGGAATGAAATAAAGAAGTTACCAAATGGAAGGAAATGAATGAAAAAGATGGAAACGAGGAAAAAAAACGGGATGGGAATAATCAATAAAGAAGTCGAAGAAAAAGAAGAGTTGAGATATGGTCAATAGGGAGATAAAGAAGAAGAAGAAGAAAAAAAAACGGAAGTGACGAAAAAGAACGAAGACGAAAATGAAAGTAAAGAATAAAAAAAGGAATTTAAATATTAATGAAGAAGAAGACAAAATTACGAAATAATACAAAGGCGAAAAAGAAATTAAGGAAGGAAAAATGAAATCGGATAATCAATGAAGAAGAATAAGAAGAAGATAGGAAGTAGAATCGAAAGGAAGTAAAGAAGAAGTTACCGGATGGAAGGAAATTGACGAAAAAGAAAGAAACGAAGAAAAAAGAGAATAGGAATAATCAATGAAGAAAAGGTTGCAAAGAAAGAAAAGATGAATTACGGTCAATAGGGAGATAAAGAAGAAGACAAAAAGAAAAAAAAGAAGAGGAAAAAAAGAAGAAAAAAGGAAACAGAAAAAGAAAAAAGGAAAAAGAAGAAAAAATAAAAAGAAGAAAAAAAAGGAAAAAGGAGAAAAAGGAAAAAGAAGAAAAAAGTAAAGAGAAGAAAAAAGGAAAAAAAAATAAAAAAAGTAAAAGAAGAAGAAAAAAGGAAAAAAGAAGAAAAAAGGAAAAAGAAGAAAAAAGGAAAACAAAGAAGAAAAAAGGAAAAAGAAGAAGAAAAAAAAGAAGAAAAAGGAAAAAGAAGTAGAAAAAAGGAAAAAGAAGAAAAAAGGAAAAAGAAGAAGAAGAAAAAGGAATAAAAGAAGAAAAATGAAAAAGAAGAAGAAAAAAGGAAAAAAAGAAGAAAAAGGAAAAAAAGAGTAAAAAAGGAAATAGAAGAAAAAGGAAAAAAGAAGAAAAAAGAAAAAAAGGAAAAAGAAGTAGAAAAAAGAAAAAAAGAATTAAAAAAAGAAAAAGAAGAAGAAGAAAAAATGAAAAAGAAGGAGATGAAAGGAAAAAGAAGAAAAAAGGAAAAAGAAGAAAAAAGTAAAAAGAAGAACAAAGTAGAAAGAAGAATAAAAGAAGAAGAAGAAAGGAAAAAGAAGAAGAAGAAAAAAGGAAAAAGAAGAAAGAAAAAAAGAATTAAAAAAAAGAAGAAGAAATAAGGAAAAAAAAGAAGAAAAAAGGAAAAAGAAGAAAAAGGAAAAAAAGAAGAAAAAAGGAAAAAGAAGAAAAAGGAAAAAGAAGAAGAAGAAAATGGAAAAAGAAGAAGTAAAAAGGAAAAAAATTGAAGAAGAAAAATGGACAAAAAGAAGAAAGAAGGAAAAAGAAGTAAAAAGTAAAATGAAGAAAAAAAAGAAGTAAAATGGAAAAAGAAGAAAAAAGGGAAAAGAAAAAAAGGAAAAAGAAGAAAAAAGGAAAAAGAAGAAAACAGGAAAAAGAAGAAGTAGAAAAAAGGAAAAAAGAAGAAAAAAGGAAAAAGAAGAAGAAGAAAAATTGAAAAAGAAGAAGAAAAAAGGAAAAAATAGAAGAAGAAAAAAGGAAAACGATGAAAAAAAATGAAAAAGAAGAAGAAAAAAGCAAAAAAAAGAAAAAAGGAAAAAGAAGAAAAAGAAGTGACGAAAAAGAACGAAGACGAAAACAAAAGTAAAGAATAAAAAGAAAGAATTCAAATATCACGGAAGATGAAGACAAATTTACGAAATAAAACGGGGGAAAAAGAAAGAAACGGAGGAAAAAAAGAGATCGAATAATCAATGAAGAAGAAAAAAACGAATCGATGTAGAAGAAAAAGAAGAAAAATATTAATCGAAGAATAATATCCAAGAAAAATATAAAGAAAGAATGAAAAAAGAAAAAGTAATTATCAGATAGCAAAAAAGAGAGTGAACGAAAGAAAGAAAGAAGGAAAGACAGAAATAAAAAAGAAAGAGAGAAAAATGGTCAAATAGTAAAAGAAGAGTGAAAGAAAGAAAGAAGGAAAGACAGAAAGGAATAGAAAGAAAGAGAGAGAGAAAGAAAAAGAGATAAATAAATAAAATGTAATGATTAAATAGCAAAAAGCCTGTGCAAGAATGAAGGTAGGAAGAATAGAAAAAGGAGAAAAAAAAGCAATGATCAAATAGCAAGAAAAGTTAAAGAAGCAAGGAAAGTTAAAGGAAGAAAAAAAGAAAAAAGAAAGAAGGAAAGAAAGAAGAAAAGAATGAATGAATGAATACAGAAAGAAAAAGTAAGTTTAGATAGGAAAAGGCGGGGGAAAGAAAGTAAGTAAAAAAGAAACAGAAAAAAAATAGTAATGAATGAATAGCAAAAGGACAGTGAGAGAGAGAGAAAAAGAAAGAAAGAAAGAAAGAAAGAAAGAAAGAAAGAAAGAAAGAAAGAAAGAAAGAAAGAAAGAAAGAAAGAAAGTTAAAAAGAAAGAAATATAGAAAGAAAGAAAGAAAGATAGAATAGAATACAAAAAAAGAAAGAAGGAAGGAATGTTAGAAAGAAAGACTGAAAGGAAGGAAGGAAGTACAAGAGAATAGAATACAATAGAAAGAAAGACTTACAGAAAGAAAGAAAGAATGAAATATAGAAAGAAAGAAATGAAGGAAGGAAGGAAGTACAATATAATACAACAGAAAGAAGAACTTACAGAAAGAAAGAAAGAACGAAAAGAGAAGAAAGAAAGAAAGAAAGAAAGAAAGAAAGAAAGAAAGAAAGAAAGAAAGTAATGATCTAATCTTTAGCCGCCGCTTCCGCTTCCGCCGCCGCCTCCCCCTGGTGGTGTAATCACGTTTTAATGGTCCTGTCCTCAGGGTCTTAGAACGACGTTTTGACCACGGGGCTATCTCTGCGCTGGTCAATACTGACGCTGGTCCAAGCTGCTTGTTTGTCGCTGGCCGCTTCATTCCACACCAACTCTTCCTACGCTGTATTCTTCATCTCAGAGCAGTAAAAACTCAAAGACCGCAGTCTGGCAGCGCTGGTTCAAACCGTGGCAGGTCCTATATTAAGGGAAAAAAAACCATCTTCACGAGGAAAAAAAAAAGAAAAGATTTCGTGGGATTAATCTTCAGTTGGTTTATATAGCTCTTGGTGCAACAAAAATTAACACTTCCTGCGTCAATCTCTAAAGTGACACTGGGCCTTGACTAAACTTTTGTCGGAGCTGGGTACAAAGTCTTGGAATCGGGAAACATGGATTTCAGAGACACACGATGCGGATTCTCAGTCCAAAGTCTCCAAACTCTCCCAAATCCACTGCTTATATGCATTTTGGGCCCAAACTGGCGTGGTGTCGAAGGATTCTTGGAAGTCGAAGATTCCCCAATTCTCATTAATTCTTGTACAGGTTTTCTTTGTTTCCTATTTCTGCCTTCTTAAATTTGGAGAATTATCCACCTTCTTTGGGAGTAGTTAGATGTATTGCTCCTCCCTTCACTGCAACCTTCTTCACTTCACATCTCCGACTGCTACTCCGCACAAGCGGGGCTAAACTCTGCTCCTTCTTCCTTCCTTTGTGGTATTCTAACTATGCCCACTTATCTTCGTGATAAATCTAATTTTTAAAATGTGTAGGAGAAAGGACGTGTTTTATTCTCCTTATCAATTTCAATTTCTGACTCTCCTTCCTGGACCCACCTGTCCAGCGAAAACACAAACCAGATCACCTTCTCTTTTTAACATTCCGAGCGATAAATAAGAAATATTTCCCAATTTGTTTTCACCAATGAAAATATATTTCTTTACCAAAATTCTCAACAAAGGGACATGATGTTTTCCATCCTTAGGCCGGTCGCCGTCTTAGCGAAAATATAAATCAGATCACCTGTCCTGTTATGACAGATCTATTTTCATAATCCTAATCTTCGCAGCGGGTTTATTCTCTGTTTTTATTTCTCAATTCGTTTTTGCTAATGAAAATATAATTTCCGTTTGATTCTCTTTTCGCCAATGATATGCGTTTTTCAAATTTCCCAAGAAAGAGAGAAAGCCATTCCGCAATTTGCTTTACCCGCATGCCAGATTTTCGATAGGTAAAAATAAGTAAATTCACGGCGTATCGTTCCAATTCGTAGGGGTGAGACAACTCAGATGGCCGTTTCTTCACTTCCGCATTAGCAAGGAAAATATCTTCCATTATCTGTTTCTGTCTCTTTATCTTCGAGTTCATTATTTCCTAATTTATTTAGGATTTAACCAGCGTTTGAAAAGAAAAAGAAAAGAAAAAGGAAAACCAAAAAGAGAAAAAAAAAGATGAAAGATTGAAAAAAGCAAAATAAAAAAACCAAAAAAAGAAAAGAAAAAGAAAGAAAAAAGAAAGAAATAATAATCAAAATACCAAAAAGAAAGAAAGAAAAAGAGATACAGAAACTAAAGTGATTATTAAATAGCAAAAGCAAAGAAAGAAAGAAGGAAAGAAAGAATGAAAAAAGAAAGAAAAAGCAATGATCAAATAATAAAAAGATTGAACGAAAGAAAAAAGAAGAAGAAAGAAAAATAGATAAAGAAATTTTCTTGAGAATAAAGAGAAATAAGAGGAAAGAAAGAATAATCCTAATATCAAAAGGTGTGGAATGAAAGAAAGAAAAGAACGACAGAAACAGAAAAAAGTAAGTGAGTGAATGAAAAAAGGAAGAAAAAAAGGGAAGGATAGAAGGAAAAAAAAGAAAAGAATGAAAGAAAGAGAAAAGAAAAGAGAAAAAGCAAATAAGAAAATTAACTAATATCAAAAAAAAGTAGAGAGAAAGAAAGAAAGAAAAAAGAATAATCTAATATCAAAGAAAGAAGGAAAGAAAGAAAGATTAATCCTAATATCAAAAAGAGCGTGAAAAATGAAAGAAAGAAAGAAAGAAAGAAAGAAAGAAAGAAAGAAAAGAAAGAAAGTAAGAGTGAAAGAAAGATTAATCCTAATATCAAAAGGAAAAATGGAAAAAGAACGACAGAATTAATGAAAGAACGAAAGAAAAATTAATCGTAATGTCAAAAGCAGCGTGAGGAATGAAAGAAAGCAAGAACGACAGAAAAGAGAAAGAAAGTAAGAGTGAAAGAAAGAATAATCCTAATATCAAAAGGAGAGTGAGGAATGAAAGAAAGAAAGAACGACAGAAAGAGAAAGAAAGTAAGAGTGAAAGAAAGATTAATCCTAATATCAAAAGGAGAGTGAGGAATGAAAGAAAGAAAGAACGACAGAAAAGAGAAAGAAAGTAAGAGTGAAAGAAAGATTAATCCTAATATCAAAAGGAGAGTGAGGAATGAAAGAAAGCAAGAACGACAGAAAAGAGAAAGAAAATCCTAATATAAGAGATTGAAAGAAAGATTAATCCTAATATCAAAAGGAGCGTGAGGAATGAAAGAAAGAAAGAACGACAGAAAAGAGAAAGAAAGTAAGAGTGAAAGAAAGATTAATCCTAATATCAAAAGGAGCGTGAAAAAAAATGAAAGAAAAAAACGACAGAAAGAAAGAAATAGTGAAAGAAAGAAAGAATCCTAATATCAAAAGGATCGTGAAAAAAAAATGAAAGAAAAAAAACAGCAGAAAAAAGAAAGAAAGAAAAATGTAATGATCAAATGGCGAAAGGCAAGTAAAAGAAAGAAAAAAAGAGAAACATTATTTGACACGTGGCCCGAGAATGTCAGAAATAACTATGAAAATTGTTAGGTGTTCGCCAATCAGATTATTCGTGTGTAGCTCATTGCCAGGTCAAGGTTTACTAGAGTGAAAGAAGAACTGGGTGTGGTTGATCGAATGTCAGATGAATTTTTCAAAGGCAGTGTCATTATTTTTCAGTTGGTTCAAGGCGCCCTGAAACGGACCGCGTCTTCTTTCGACTTGTCACGTTAGATCTTGAAGAAGATGTTCAAAAGGAGAGGTCAATGAACACGACTGAAAAGGAAAGATTTCCTAATATTCAAAAGCTCGACTGATTGAGATGGATTCAATGAACGACGAAAGCTATATTTGAAAAAACTGCAGACAGTTCATATCAAAAGGATCGTGAAAAAAAATGAAAGAAAAAAAACATCGAACAATGATCAAGTATATATGAATGTCAGTGAAAAGATAATAATAGATTATTCGTGTGTAGTTTGCCAGGTCAAGGTTTTATGAAAGAAGAAAGTTGAAACAGGATGAATTATATGTCATTATTGGCCGAGACGGAGTCTTCTTTCATTACTAGCTTGAAAAGAAGATGTTGGTAGAAATTTCTGATTGAGAAAATGCCGAGCTTTCAGTCTCGAAACAAATTTTTTCAAGAGAATAGGCTTCTCAAGTTCGTAGTTGTTATTGCTCTTTCCATTATTGACAGGGGTTTCCTTCCTAACATTTTATTTGAAGTAGTGTGGAATGTCAACATCAGGATTATGGAATTATTTTCTCTTCGAGTTGCATGTACTTTTCATTTTATCTGTTGCTACAATTCAGTCCAGTGTCTTTGATATCGAAAATAAATCTAAGTAGCCCTAATAATAGAATACCAAATAATTCACATACCTACGCTGAGTCATACGCTCCCATAAAAACACTGAATTCCAGATTATTTTATTTTTTGGTCCACAGATAATCATTATGGAAAAGTATAGGTTTTTGTGGCTGCTTAATGATATTTATTTTCGGTTGCTTATTGGACAGTAATACATTGCTATATTTATAGCCGACATAATAGATTCCCGGTGATCGACAGGTAAAAATCACAAAAATCGAATTGAATATATGTACATTCATTCTTCCTTTTTATATTAGTAAACCATTCTATGGCTTCAGGTATTTTGTATCACCAGTTAATTCCTAGAAGGTTTTTGTTGTATTTATATGCTTTTTTTGTGTATTTGTATGTCTTTCAAACAATTTTTTTATTTCATGGATGAATTTGGCAATTAATTTCGATTATTCTCAAATTAATTTCCAAGTTATAAAAATTGTTATCGTATAAAAAAATTCTAAAGTTACCTCGAGTAAGTTGACCACGCTTGTATTTGTAGTGGTAGTAATATATAATTCATGATCTTTACAAATATTTACTAATTCCTTTCTCAATCGGTTCGTGGGCTAGTTTTACGGAAAAGGGTGTCGCCATGATCTCTATAGAGTCCGGTCTCCTGAATTATATTCTGCATGAAACTCTGGCTAACATGAAAATCTAACTTGGACTGATTTATGTAAATTACCTAGAATTTTTTGGTAGTGACTTGATTCTTTACTGACTTATCTATCGTTATATAGATTCTTTGGTATATGGTTTATACTAACCATTATTCAGGTTAAAGGTCACATCGAAAAAGTTGATCACTTTAGCATTGGTGGTAGTGGTAATCTTTAGTTAGTGATTATTACAAAGTTTTATTACTTCCTTTCTCAATCAGTTCTTCTTTCGTGGACTTGTTTTACACACACACGCATATATATTGAGAGAGATACGTTGGAAATAAAATAAAAAATATTTAAATATTCAAATGCTTTTCACAAATTTCTTCTGAAATGCTTTGTTCAGTGATTCTATCAAACACATACACAGAGACGCCATTAAAAATAATGTTGACTTTCTTGAAAATATATTCGTTTAATAAAACTTTGTTATGTTTTGGTATAGATTTATCTATTTTATTAACGCAACTATATCTGACAAAATAAAGCCATTTTTGTTAAAAATCTTTTTTAGTTTCGGTGAATGATTAAAGTGCTTATGAATTAAATTTAGAAAAATTCTTTCGATATTCGTCTGAACATTATGATTAAAAGATCGATTAAACCATATGATTTTAAGCTTACGGTGTTTCTGTTTCTGTTTAATGTTCTTTGTTTTTTTTTCTAAATCTTCTAATTTTATTTTATGATTGCTTTATTCTAAAGCTTTTATATATTTAATTTTATTATCATCAAATATTTCCTTGCTACAATTTGTGGATAATTTAACTTGGACTGATTTATATAAATTATCTAAAATTTTGTGGTGGTTGATTGATTCTTTACTAACGTATTTATGTTTATACAGCTCCCTTTTGTATGTTTTATAATAACGATTATTCAGGTCTAAGCTTACATCGAGGAAGTTGATCACTTTAGCATTGGTGATGGTAGTAATATTTAGTTCGTGATCTTTAAAAATATTTACCAGTTTCTTTCTCAATCTGTTCGTGGGCTAGTTTTACGGAAGAAGGTGACGCCATGATCTCTATAGAGTCTGCTCACCTAAATTACGTTCTGCGTGAAACTCTGGCTAACATGAAAATCTAACTTGGACTAATTTATGTAAATTACCTAGAATTTTTTGGTAGTGACTTGATTCTTTACTGACCTATCTATCGTTATATAGATTCTTTGGTATATGGTTTGTGGCTGCTTTATGCTATTTATTTCGCTATTACTTATTGGACAGTAATTCATTGCTATATTTATAGCCGATATAACAGATTCTCGCTGATGGACGACTAAAAATCACAAATATCGAATTGAATATATGTACATTCATTCTACTGTTTCATATTAGTAAACCATTCTATGGCTTCAGGTATTTTGTGTCACTAGTTAATTCTTAGAAGATTTTTGCTGGATTTGCATTCTTTTTTGTTGTATTTGCATGTTTTCCGTACGAACAATTATTGTGCTCATCTTTGTTGCATATGTGTGTATGCTATCCCGAGCAGCTACGGAAAAAATATAAAGGGAAAACAGGCCGCCCCCTTAAGGTAAGGCTTCAAGGACAGCAGAAAGCTGTAACACTGGGTAAATTGGACAAATCAGGTGTGGCTGACCACGTATAGAAAGAAAAGGGAGATCACCGCTCTCTGTGGGATCACGTTGAGATCATAGACAAAGAACACCATTGGAAAATTTGTAAACTTAATGAATCAGCACATATGATTGGTCACAAAAATCTCCTAAGCCGATAAAGCATAGAAATGAATACAATATGACAACCAGTAATAAGGTGTGCCAGAGAAAAGCGATAATAACAAAGAAAACTGTAATATGAGCTCTGGTAAAAATATGCAATTATAACAGCAAAAAATTGCAATATGAGAACTGGTAAAAAATGGTTGCTGAAGACATTAGGTTTATAATACCCAGAAAATCATACACAGATGAACACAAGGACACATGGCACAGAGGATAAAGGCATTGGTTAGATCCAGTGATAAGACCCAACGAGTTCAATACCCGGTTAAGGCAGTGGAGAACTTAGAAAGGGGAATTAACAGGTGATAACTGATATCCATTAAACATGCCACGTGGAACAGTCTACCCCAGTGAGCGAAATAAAGGTTTCAGTTCGACATTCCAACCACCTGAAGAAGGCCGGACCGCACAACGAAACGTTGTAATAAATATGGCGACAAAGATTCGGATAATAGTCCGAATAATATAAATAGTGTACCTCATCTCAGAAATATAGAAAGAATTATTTTTATTTCATGGGCGGATTTCGCAATTAATTTCGATTATTCGCTAATTTATTTGTAAGTTATAAAAAATTTAAAGAAAAACAGACCATTTTAAGGTACCATTATAATAATTTATTTCACCAGAGCCCTTATAAAGGACGCCGGATCATCAGATCCAAAAGTGAAATGAAACGAAAAATGAAATTAAAATTGATGGGTAGTGTAATATATATTGTAGAATTTAGATTTATATCTTGACCGTGTTTTGAAAAATGAAAATATTATATAAATACATACATGCAAAAACCATTTAAAATATTGCATCCTTGAAAATGGCTAAATGTATAGCCGAAAGCATTCAGATTATGATGGATATATTAAATTATTATTATTATTATTATTATATATGATAGATATATTAAATTATAATATATATATATTGTTCATCACTAGATTTATATATATATATATATATATATATATATATATATATATATATATATATATATATATATATATATATATATATATGTATGTATATTTGTCTCTCACTATCTCTCTCTATATACATATATATAAAAAGAGAGATAGAAAGAAAGATATGAACATAGACAAACATAATTAGATGAAGATAGATAGATAGACACACAAAGAGAGAGACATACAGTCGCATGCTTGCATTAAACATGTATATATATATATATATATATGTATATATATATGTGTGTGTGTGTGTGTGTGTGATAGATATATTAAATTATAATATATGTATATGTGTGTATTATAATTTAATATATCTATCAAAGAATTATATATTAATATATCTATCATATATGTTTATATATATGATAGATGTATTAAATTACAACATATATATATATATGTGTGTCTATTATAATTTAATATATCTATCATATATATATATATATATATATATATGTGTGTGTGTGATAGACACGAATTGACATGTCGTTTTAGCCTCTGACAATAGATGTGCGTTTCGATTGACTACATACCAACTGAGATAGCAAAATAAATGTGTAAATATATTCAGATATATTACTGTGCAAGAAGATAGATAGATAGATAGATAGATAGATAGATAGATAGATAGATAGATAGATAAACTCAGATGGATATAAAAAGGCTTAGATATACGACAGATATTAACATGAGGATATATACATATATAGAGAGAGACAGAGAGAGGGAGAAGTGTGAGAGAGAAAAAGATATAAAAATAATGAGATAGATAATTATCGTAATGAGGAGAGATACCCATGAACAGATGAAGATAGATAAATATAAACGGACTGAGATAGATAGATAGATAGATAGATAGATAGATAGATAGATAGATAGATAGATACGATCAGTGTGAGATAGATAGATAGATAGATAGATAGGAACAGACTGAAATATATATATATATATATATATAGATAGATAGATAGATAGATAGATAAAAGGATAGATAGAAAGATATGATAAGATCGATATATAGATAGATGACAAGAATGAGATAGATAGATAGATAGATAGATAGATAGATACATACATACATACATACATACATACATATATATATTTATCTACCTGTTTTCAGTCTATCTCAGTCTGGTCGTATTAATCTGTTTTCTTTGTCCATGCCTATCTATCTATCTATCTATCTATCTATCTATCTATCGTAGGTGAAACCTACCTATGTTGTCCTGGCTCTTTTCGGGATATATATATATATATATATATATATATATATATATATATATATATATATATATATATATATATAAGCGCTAGACGTTAGTAAAGAATCAAATCTATATATCTGCAATTTAACTTTTTTTTTATACATATTTATATTCATTGATTCAGATGTGTGCGTGTCAAAATTCTGTTTGTGTATCGAGTGAAAACCCCAGGTAATTACTTCAAGTAAATAGTCAGACGACTTAAATGTTTCTCTGCCAAATATGGAATCAGTAAAGATGTTTGATGTCAGTTACTGTTTCCATCATCATATCTCTGTCAGAAACGTCCCAGACGACGTACTTATCATAGATAACTTATCATATAAGTTAACTTATATATATATATATATATATATATATATATATATATATATATATATATATATATGTAGTCTGTGTGTGATATTTTTCTTGTTGCGTGCCTGTATTTGTCGATTAAGCCTACTGGAATTCCATGTCATCCTGTAAGCTATGTAGGTAAATTTGTTTTTGTTAGCAATCTCTTCTTAATACTGCTAGAAATTAAAAAGAAAAATGGGAAAAAGAAAAGAGAAAAAAAGTAACTTTGTATGGAGGAGACCAAAACCGAACGTTCAATTTTAGCGTTTGTTTTTCAGCCAACCAATCATATTCGCTATCAGTAACTTCACGGACGCCGAGACGCGGGCGGCGCTCCGACAACGAAGACAACAAAACAGTGATAAAATAATAATAATAATAATAATAATAATAACAAGAATAACAAATGATTAAATTTAGAAAAGTCAATGTAAAACACTCTATCCCGTCCGGGCCAAACATAGCGATAAATCTTTGGTTGAAATTAAAATTTGTCTAGGCCAAAAATCCTCGTCGAATAAAAGCATACAAATGTTTAAGTGATGGTGAAATGTCGGCGGCAAATCTTCCCGAAATAATGATTTCCTAAGCCTACCTTAGATGTGGCAAAAGGCCGAAAGTACGGGGCACCCAGTGAGGATCGAACTCACTAGTTAGTCTGAATTGATCTAGCGTGGCAAGCTTAATAAACATTGCGCCACGTCGAAGTGCCCAAAGGTCTTTCTAATGCGTAGCTTAGATATGGCACAAGGCCAAATGTATGAGCACCCAGTGAGGATCGAACTCACTATTCGGCCGTAATTGATCTAGCGAGACAAACTTGTTAACCATTACAACACGTCGAAGCACGCGAAGTCATTTTCTAAGCGTACCTTAGATGTGGCACAAGGCCGAAATTATCGGGTACCGAGTGAGGATGGAACTCACTATTAAGTAATAATTGATCTAGCGAGACAAGCTTGCTACCGATTATACCACGTTGAGTGACCAATGGTGATTCTCTAGACGTAGCTTCATAGTGGCACAAGGCCGAAATTAAAGGGGCATCTTCTCGTAATTATGAACGGTACCCTTCGTTTTGTTGACAGGAAAGATGAGTAAATTTTAATTTGTTGAACAATATTTGATGTTTCTAAATTTTCAATAGGCCTTGCATTCGGAATTTTATTTAGGCTCAAGCAAGGCAATAAAGCCATTGAGACGCAAAGAGTTACTGAGAGTTAGAAAAACATGAGAAGAAGAAAAATATTAGCGAGAGAGAACATTAAAAGTACAAGAAATAATAATTTTATATTCTGACTATTGTCCTTATCTTTGTTGTTTTTATCACAACGTTTTGGCCGTTGTGACCCCGTCCTGGCCTTACTCAGGTGTATATCAATCTGAGTAAGCTACAGCGAATTCCGAACTGAACCCTTTTATTTAATCTACGGTGGCAGACTGTTCTCGTTCCATTGCACATGTCTCGGGATATCTCGTCTAGTTCTCATTATTAGTAGTGCTCATTTATTGCTCGCCCTGTAGGTTACCAGGATCGATATATTCAAGGAATTCCAAACTGAACCCTTTTATTTAATCTATGGTGGCAGACAGTTCTCGTTCCATTGCCCATGTCTCGGGATATCTCGTCTAGTTCTTATTTTTAGTACTGCTCATTTATTGCTCGCCCTGTAGGTTACTAGGATCGATATATTCAGGGAATTCCAAACTGAACCCATTATTTAATTTACGATGGCAGACTGTTCTCGTTCCACTGCCCATGTCTCGGGATATCTCGTCTAGTTCTCATTTTCTTAAAGCTGTTCTTATTTTTATTTAGTTCTGTTCATTTTTTGCTTGCCTAGGGATTGAACTCGCAACCAATATATAACTAAATTCACCAACATTTTTATTCACTAGTCCATTAAATTTACTGTTTCGTAATTCTTGTTCTTTTAGTCACTTTTTTCTTATAGTCTCTAACTTCTAGTACCCCCTTGCGTCTTAGTTGCTTTATACTGCCTTGCATGGGTGAAATGATTAAAAAAACTTATTGTAAAAATATTAGGAATAACTAATGTTAAATCTCATTATTTAAGAAAGCCGGGAGAACGAATCGGTCGAAAATAAAAAGGAAAATGTTAAAAAAAAATAATTACAAAAAAGCATTTTAAAGATTATATGACTACCGAAATTATTTGATTTCAGACACATGAATTATGAAAATGTTATTATGAGGAAAACACTAGGAAGACCAAAGAATTTATCGGTCGAATTATTTTAGATAAAATTCTAAAAAGTTAAAATAACAACCGGATAGCCGCATAAATTAGTAGTTATTCCATTTCGAAAATCCAGCCAACGCAAAAGAAGGCCAGGGAATGAATCGGCTGAAAAGTAGTTGTAATATAAACATAAAGAAGATTAATCGAAATTCTATGAAATAAGGGCGCTAGGAAGTCATTATTTCTGTCAGCGTTGTCATCACAGTCGATAGGCCAGGAGAATTGCATTCTAAAATGAGTCTTAGGCAACGAATACGTGAAGACCATTTTGGAAATGTACCAGGTCATCAAGGACGCTCTCTTCTCATTTGTATGGTTTCAGGGAACAAATGATCCCAAGTAACCAGTACAGACCTAGGAGTGGGGAGAGGTGTTAGAGCGAGTACCCGGATGAGTCCGAGATGGTAGGGGTTACAAGTTAACATTTTATGGCGGGCAATTGCACCGTGAATCTGTCATGAAAAGATGTGCGGTTAGCGAAGATGATTTGCATCGCGGGATTGGCTTTCAACTAAATCTGGTCGAGGCGAAACGGTTGCCAAGAAATTCTATTTTGGTATTGCTGGGTAACCAGGAAGGTTATCATCATTGGGGATTTTGAATGAAACGAATGAAGAAGAAGAACGAAAGTATGGATGGAAGAAAATAAAAAATAAAGAGGAGAGAAAGAATGTAAAAAGAAGGGAGAGAAAGAAAGAAAGATATGAAAAGACGAAATAGAGGAAAAGAAAGAGAGACAGATAAGAAAAGAAGAAAATTCAGGAAAGAAAGAAAGAAAGAAAGAAAGAAAGATATGAAAAGAAGAAATTACCGGAAACGAAAGAAAGAAAGAGACGGAAATAATAAAATAGACGAAAAGAGAGAAATAAAGATTTGAGAAGAAGAAAATAGAGGAAAAAAAGAAGGAAAAAGACAGAAAGATAGGAAAAGCAAGAAAATGCAGGAAAAGAAAGAAAGAAAGATAGGAAAAAGAAGAAAATATTGGAAAAGAAAGAAAATAGAGGAAAAGAAAGAAAGATATCAAAATGAAAGAAAGAAAGAAAGATAGGAAAAGAAAGAAAATAGAAGAAAAGAAAGAAATATATCCAAATGAAAGAAAGAAAGAAGGAAAAAAGACAGAAAGATAGGAAAAGAAAAAAATAGAGGAAAAGAAAGAAAATAGAGGAAACAGAAAGAAAGAAAGAAAGAAAGAAAGACAGGAAAAGAAAATCGAGTAAAAGAAAGAAAGATATCAAAAAGAAAGAAAGAAAGAAAGAAAAATTGGCAAAGAAAGAAAATAGAGGAAAAGAAATAAAGAAAAAGAAAAAAGAAATAAAAATAAGAAAAGAAATAAAACAGAGAATAAGAAAGAAAGATATGAAAAGAAGAAAATAGATGAAAAATAATAAAGAAAGACATAGAAAGAAGCAAATACCGGAAAAGATAGAAAGATAAAAAAAAAAGAAATTTGAGGAAAAGTAAGAAAGGAAAATGGAGAAGGAATGAAATTCAATTAAAGAAAGAAAGAAAGAACGCAATAAAAAAGTAAGAAAAAGAAAACAAATAAAGAATAAGCGATGAAGAGATGGAAAGAAAGGAGTAACGAAGAATAAATAACCAGAAGACAGAAATTGATATTGATCCTTTCCTTTTTCTCAAGGAAGAGTAGAACGGAAGTGTTGTAGTTGTAGACTGAAGTCATTTTAGTATACAAATATAAAATTTCATCAACTTACTTCGGTAAATCTTTCATCAAATGTCTTGAGTTCCATTATATTTTCAGTCCTGTAAAATCTTGACGTCTATGGCGCTTCGCCAATACCTCACAATATCAGTAAGACATTTTTTTTTCGCTTTCATTTTTTTTTTTTTTGTAAAATTCCATTTCTCAGCTGAGTATAAATAATCTATTAATACAGACATTTTTTATATGGACGAAAGTCTATATTGTGGAATTATCACAGATTTTCTTAAAATATTCTTAAATCCTGTAAAGGGCGAATCAATTCCGATATCCTCAAAGAATACATATATATATATATATATATATATATATATATATATATATATATATATATATATAGAGAGAGAGAGAGAGAGAGAGAGAGAGATAGTAACGCTAAACTTATACACGGTAGGATTTCCATAAATTTTCATTCTCCTGAAGAATAAATTCATCGAAGATGTGTTGTTCAGTTTAATCCCATCTTGACGATGAACTTAATCCATCTCCGCAATCATCGCATACATTGAACATTGAGGCGTGAAAAGTTCACTTTGAAAGTTTTAGACATATTGATCCACCTCTGCAGTTATAAAAAGTCAAATAACGAACCGATTTGCTTAGTCATTTTTGAGATATTTCTTTTATTTTTGTTCTCCTATGATTTTTTTGTTCTCCTTTTTTTCTTTTTCTTTTTCTTTTTGGCACTTCCCATATTCTCAGCCACCATCCACCCCTAGTCTAGGTTTGGCTCCCGGGTTTTTACTAGAAATAAAACCGCAATTGAGACGACAGGAATAAAGTATAAGGGGAATGTGAATAGATAATGTTCCCTAAAGAGGCCTTTGTAACTTTTTCCAAAAGTAGATAAGTTGCTGGGATACTGACTTCTGACGGAGAGTATTTTGAAGAGGACAAAGGCGGCATTACCCTAAGTATTCCCATGTTTTCCATAGTATTAAATCAATTGCTAAGCCTGCAGCTAAGAAATTGTTTAACACGACTACATGGTCTTAGACAATATTTCCTTGCTTTGAATATTACTCTCCAGCTATATATTTAAAGATTCCGGATAAAATCCGAAGACGAATCTGCAATGTTATTAGTCCTGACCTGGCATCTCGGCTTCAGTTCCTTTCCCATCTGTGCTCCCTCTGTCTTTTCTATCAATATTTTCACGTTAATTCTTCTAATAAACTTTCCGCTATGGTACCTAGACTTTATGAATCTGAGCTCAGTACTAGATTGACCGCATGGTCTCATCATTTTAGAGTTGAAATGGCTAGATCCAGCTGTAAGTTCTATGCTAACAGATCCTTCTATCGAACTTCTCGCTTGCAGAACTCTCTTCAGGCTTCTTTTTTCCTGGTCTAGTTTAACCTTCAAAATGTTAAATGTTAATAATCAGTAACCCCCCTTGCGTCCTAGTAGGCTTTATTGCCTTACTTGGGGTGAAATGAGTAAAAAAATATAATGTGTGCAAGTCGATTTTTGCAGATTATCTTTCCAAAATCCGAGAATTATTTGATTTTTGCAAAAATTTCCAAAACTGGATTCCATACTGCAAAAAGACACTAAATTTCCCATACTAATCTTTGGACCAACTGCTGATGCAAGAAAAACAAGATTGTTCTCCAAAACCTGCTAGAAATCCTAAAAAAATTAATAAAATAATCAAAAATACTTTGGTCTTTCATCTTAATAAGAACATAAACATTTTGACGAAATATTTTTTTTTTATCAAGTTTGGGTTGTTTTTCATCATGTTATCCTGTTTTTAGCGAATTTTTGGAGGTACATTTACATACACACACACACACACACACACACACACATATATATATATATATATATATATATATATATATATATGCATGTTTTATGAAATAATATAGACAAGTTTTGTCTATTTATTTTAAGTAATTTCCTTTCATATTGTCTGATAAGCTTAATAACATTATCATTGAAAGACGAAATGAAAACACCATATTGATACATGTTTAAATCCAATCTAAGCTTTCGGCTTATATAAGCCATTATAAAAAATAACAAATACTTTTCAATATAACCAACAATACACAGAAGAAACAATAATGATAGTCTGTTTTTGTTGCATGAAAAATTTTAAAGCAACGACTAACTCGTGTATACCAGACGCGAAAGCGAAAATCGCGTCGCAGCTTGTGACGTCACACATGACCACGCGTGAGTGAAAACGAGAAGTATTAAGTATGGGAAGCCGTTAAAAGCTTAGGTTGGATTTAAACATGTATCAATATGGTGATTCCCTTTCGTCTTTCAATGAGAATGTTATTAAACTTATCAGACAATATAAAAGGAACTTACTTAAAATAAATAGACAAAACTTTCTATGTTATTTAATAAAACATGCATCAATGAAAAATTGCTGCTATATATATATATATATATATATATATATATATATATATATATATATATATATGCATGTATATCGAGTAGATAGCTCCAAAAGAGGATGTGATCCAGAGAGGTCAATGTAACATCAGAGCAAATATTAATTAAATAATAAATTATAGTAATGGAACCTTAAGGTTGTCTCTTTCATAAATTATATATATATATATATATATATATATATATATATATATATATATATATATATATATATATATATGTGCTAGATAGTCGATGCGATATGCAACAATTAACTACCGAAGAACTCAATATTGATCGCTGCATTTAGTATTTGAGCTTATCTTTGAAAAGTTCAAAGATAATTCTTCTGCCTCCGCTTAATTTAAAGACATTTTGATGTACGTAGGTCATTACTTTCAGTACAAGTATTTATTTTTATTGCATGGGTGACTTTCGCTAGATTTCGCAGTTAATTTCGATTATTCCCAAATTTATTTCCAAGCAATAAAAATTGTTAGCGTATAAAAAATTCGTCCCAAAAATATACGTAAACAATCGCCGAAAACAATCGTAGTATTGAAAACTTGGGAATCCAAAATTTCAGTATTGCGCTTCCGGATTCAGCCTGGAATGTTTTTAATTTCCTCTCAGAATCGGCCTGATTCCAAATCGGATTATATGTTGGGCCCTGTTCTCTAGGAATACAGATGAAAACACGGACAATTATATTTTGATAGACTGTAATTTGATAACAGTATTTTTTTTCCATTTGAACAAGAGCTATTCAAAATTAGAGAGTTGTCTCCCTTTAATTGTTTTCATCAGTATAAGCCAAGATGGCGGGATCAGAAAACATTCGCAGTAATGAAAACTTGGGAATCCACATTTTCAGGATTGCGGGTCCGGATCGGGTCCGGAATGGTTTTAATTTCCTCACGGAGTCGGCCTTACTCTAAAATAGTATATGCTGGGCTACGGTGTCTAGGAGTAAAGTTGAAAAAGTATGACACACGGTTATTCGCATTTATTATATAGAAGAAGATGAGCTATTGAGAGATGCGTCTCTTTAATTGAAAAAAGCGTGACACACTGAACTTGGCATATATTATATAGGTATACTTTCATGTTGATTGCTCTGATGTACTTTCTCTATGGCTTTATGAATTTAAATTTACTACCAGATTGGCAACTAGGTCTCATCATTTTCATCTGAAATGGTTAGATGGAACCGTAAGTTCTATGCTAATAGTTTCTTCTCTTGCAGTTGTCGCTTCTTAATTCTTGTACTATTATTTTTCTATCTCCTTAATAGTAGTCAAAATTTATCTCAAATTCCTTAACACTCAATAACTCCCTTGTGTCCTAGTGGCTTTATGGCTTTACCTGGAGTAAATTGATTAAAAAAAGGAAAATATATCCCTATATAATGTTTAGTATTATTGTTGTAAATACTAATACGAAACAAATTATTGTTTTATTCACTACTTATTCGTTTAAATCCTGCAAAGAGTGGATCGTATTCTGACAGGCTTAAAGAAAGATCAATAGACAGGCGGTAGAAGCATAAACTATATTCCTTTTTCATTCTGAAGATAAGAGAGGAAGAGAGGGAACGAGAGAAAGTAACGCTATTTCGACCGCGCATAGATTACCTACCGTAGTGCACGTTTACTCAATATATTTGCATCCTGAAGCGCAGATCAATTCTGTAAGCCAACGACAAATCCAGTTGGCGTAAAAAATAACGATTCACAGATAAACGTTTCTCTTTGACTCACCCGTTTAAAGATCATTACCCTTAATCTGTCTTAACACGTGCTTTTATCCCTCGATTCGAGCTCAATAAACAGTTGCTTATTATATTTTTATTTTAATGCTGTGTCCGTTCAGAAGGAAAGCTGTCTTGAAAGATGATGCAGACGCTTCCAGTGGCTTTTCCCACAGATTTAAAGACCGGGTCGACTTTCGCCCAGACTGAGGGTCAAACAAAATTTGAGAGTGCAGTCTGGAGGCTAAAGAGATCGCTTCATATCAAGGACAAGAAACACACATCCTTATTGTATTACTAATTCGATTCCATCTTCTTATAGTTACTTTTTATCTCAACACTCTGGCTCTATACACTCTTCATTATTACTATTATTTTATTACTAATTTAAATCCATCTTATTATTGTTGCTTTTTATCTCAACACTCTGGCTCTATACACTCTTCATTATTACTATCATTTTATTACTAGTTTTATTCCATCTTAATATTGTTGCTTTTTATCCCAACACTCTGGCTCTATACACTCTTCATTATTACTATTATTTTATTACTAGTTTTATTCCATCTTATTATTGTTACTTTTGTCCCAACACTCTGGCTCTATACACTCTTCATTATTACTATTATTTTATTACTAGTTTTATTCAATCATATTATTGTTACTTTTTATCCCAACACTCTGGCTCTATACACTCTTCATTATTACTATTATTTTATTACTAGTTTTATCCATCTTATTATTGTTGCTTTTTATCCCAACACTCTGGCTCTATACACTCTTCATTATTACTATTATTTTATTACTAGTTTTATTCCATCTTATTATTGCTGCTTTTTTTATCCCAACACTCTGGCTCTATACACTCTTCATTATTACTATTATTTTATTACTAGTTTTATTCCATCTTATTATTGTTGCTTTTTTTATCCCAACACTCTGGCTCTATACACTCTTCATTATTACTATTATTTTATTACTAGTTTTATTCCATCTTATTATTGTTGCTTTTTTATCCCAACACTCTGGCTCTATACACTCTTCATTATTACTATTATTTTATTACTAGTTTTATTCCATCTTATTATTGCTGCTTTTTATCCCAACACTCTGGCTCTATACACTCTTCATTATTACTATTATTTTATTACTAGTTTTATTCCATCTTAATATTGTTGCTTTTTATCCCAACACTCTGGCTCTATACACTCTTCATTATTAGTATTTCTTTTTCTAGCTTCAATCCATCTTATTATTTTATCTTTTAATCCAAACACTCTGATTAAATAATCTTCTCAACCAACTGAGCAAACAGTAAGAAAGTAATTGTATTCTCCATCCTGATTATATGTAAACCCCCTTATTATGCCACGGGAGCCTGTCTTTCACGGTGCTGCCTTAACAAGTTGAGCAACTCAACTTTCTTTAATTAATATATTCCTTAGCTGGGTCAGACCCTGGGAAGTAGAGTCGACACAATGAGAAAAGAATATATTGTACACTCCATCCATTTTTTGGGGCAGTTTAAACTAAACACTAAACACTGTGGCTACTAAATTTGATGCAGCATGTCTTCCTATGCTTCAGAGTTTACAAAATCTGAGAATGTGACAAGCAACCTTTCAATCAATAACAGTTTACGCCTTATTATGATCATGTCGAAGAAAAATATAGGAAGACTGTGTTGCGTCAGTTTTCCAAGTCCTGCCTACCTCGAAAATAATTATTTAAAATCCTGCCATATATATATATCAGTATATTCGATCATTGCTTCATTTTGCGTAGCGACATATCAACAACTCTATTTAAGACGAAATCTAAATATTTTGACGTATATCGCTTCAACTAAATATATTTTAAATGTAATTGTATGCCGTAAACTATAGAGAAAATTTATTGTTGGTCATTTTGCTATAAATAGGTATTTCTGATAATTTTACTATAAAATTGTATTGTTACTATTTTTCTATATGAATGTATTGCCAGTAATCTTACTTATTATAAAACGCAGATTGTGTGTGTGTGTCTGTTTCGTTTATATATTGGATCGGATTTCCTACATTTTTCAACTGATTTCAACAAAACTTCACAGGACTACGTAAAATTACCTTGCGGTGCTTCTGACAGCGCCAAAAATTGGAAAAACACAGTTGCTTTTGCACGAAATCAATTTGAAAACACGATTAAGAGGCATCGCTGTCGCGAGAATGAAAGGGGGACAACTCATATCGAGTTATACTTATTATAAAACCCAGGTTGTTTTTGTGTGTGTGTGTGTGTGTGTGTGTGTGTGTGTGTGTGTGTTCGTTGATATATGGGATCGGATTTCCTACATTTTTCAACCGATTTCAACAAAACTTCACTTTTTTTTGGCAGATAGTGTTTCTTATTGTCTTGCACACATTTTTCTTTATTTTTACATTCAGAATGCTTTAAAAATTCCATTTGCAAGACAATTGTTTATAATAAAATTCTATTCAATCGGTAGACTCATAACGACTGAAAACAATGTTTTTGTTTGAGTTTGGATTTGACCAATTCGTAAAAAAAAAAAAAAAAAAAAACTAATTAAGACATGCGTGTCCGTCAACCTTAAACAATAATCTTTGTCAATTTTATTTTTCAGTCTTTATGATGGTCAATACTTGATCTATCTCTTACTGTTACATCCCCGGGCAACGCTGGGCTCTCCTGCTATAAAAATGTATTTTATATACATTAGTATATTTTGTGTGCGTCTTGGGATTCATTATTGCCCATAGCTGGGATTTTAACAGGTGTAGGACTCCGGTTAGGGTGACTCTGGGAACAACAGCAATTAAGCGGTTTTACGACACTCCTCAAAACCTCAAAACTCCTCTCAAATCTTGCTGCCAGATGCAGTTTATCGTCATGCACATGAACGACATAACAGGTGCTATCACCTCGGGTCAGGGTGACTCTGGGAACAACAGCAATTAAGAAGTGGTTCCAAGATCCTCAAATCTCCAGTCTCCTGATCTGAGGTCTTGCTGCCGGATATAGTTTATCGTCATACCCAGGACCCCCCTAACAGTACTACCATCTCGGGTCAGGGTGATTCTGGGGACAACGGCAATCAAGAGGTGGTTCCACACTCTTCAAATCTCCAATACCCCGGATGTAGTTTATCGTCATACCCAGGACCGCCCACACAGGTGCTTACACCTCGAGTCAGAGTGGAATTGCCAACAACAGCAATAAAAATGTGGTTCCACGTTCCTCAAAGCCTTCAATCTCCCGATGAGAGGCCTTGCTGCCGGGATGTAGTTTATCGTCATACCCAGGACCGCCCTAACAGGTTCTACTGTCTCTTGTCAGTGTGACTCTGGGAACAACAGCAATTAAGAAGTGGTTCAATACTCTTCAAAACCTTCAATCTCCCGATCAGTGGACTTTCTGCTAGATGTAGTTTATTTCTATCGCCATGGCCGAATAATGTGTTACACCAAGTAACAAAATAATTTATACATTTTTTATATTATTCGGACTATTGTCCTCATCTTTGTCGCCATATTTATTACAACGTTTCAGCCGTTGTACGCTCCGGCCTTCTTCAGGTGGTTGCAATGTCGAACTGAACCCTTTTATTTCGCTCACTGGGGTAGACTGTTCTAGTTCCACGTGTTCTAGTTCCACAGATACCTCCTGTTACTTCCCCTCGCAAAGTTCTTCACTGCCGTAATCGGGTATTGAACTCAGACTCTTTGAGTCTTGTCATAGGATCTTCAAGGACACATGGTACAATGGATAAAGGCGGTGGTTAGATCCAGTGACAGTAAGTTATGGAAACAAAACCTATGAAGTGGATGAGGCCCGTGCCGCAGTACAATCTTCAGCAAAATTTAACCGCGTACTCAGTTACATTCATAGTTGGCGCTCCATTATCCTGTCCTTATACCAGTGTCATATAGGAAGACAATGGGTAACTACCGACACCGAGATTCGAGCGTGAAACTCTTGATTTATGAATATATGTTTTCCGCTAGGTGTATAAATAGCGGTGTCAGGCTACTGACTACAGTGATTATTGAATGGAACTATCCAGTCGAATTAGTGTGAATTATTGTGCGTCGATGATTTGGGATTTGATTTAGGATTTACGCGCTACTAACAAGGTATTCACAGAAATGATTAATTATCTTTGGTTGAGTTTTTATTCTTCGTTCTTGTTAAATATTTGCGATTTTAATTAAATTCTGTTTTATTTTAACATTGAAGTCTGGAGTTATATTTAATTAATAACGGCCAACATACGCCACAAAAATAACTGAAAAGGGTTTTCCCTGATTCTTACGACAAATGGTGTCAAGATGGCTAAACGACTCATCTGAAAACCTGGAAAAAAGAAACCTAATTAGTTTAGTGGTTATTTTTTTCTCGATATTATTGCAACAATAAGAACAAAGATAAAAATATTAGTTAAAATGCAAATAATGTAAAGTATAATAATTTGTCATCTAGGAAGAAAATGAGTGACTACCGACATCGAGGTTCGAGCGTGAAACTCTGGATTATAAATATGTTTTTTTTTTTTCGACAGATGTATAAGTAGCAGTGTCAGGCTACTGACTGCGATGACTATTGAGTGGATCTATCCAGTCGAATTAGTGTGAATTATTGTGCATCGATGATTTGGGTTTTGATTTAGGATCTACCGGATGTTAAGCGGAGCCGGGCTACTAACAAGATATTCATTGAAATGGTTAATTATCTTTGGTTGAGTTTTACTTCTTTTTACTTGTTAAGTATTTATTTACGGTTGTAATTAAATAACGTCTTATCCTAACATTGAAATCTTGAGTTATCCTTAATTATTAACGGACACCGTACGTCGCAAAAAGCAGACAATGCAAAATTTAATAAGTGAAACATTACTATTAAAATTGACACATTCATCGTACGTGACTTGAAATTTTATGGCTTGATATTTTATTTACTTTATTATTTGATCACTCTGTGTGTGAGGTCGCGTATTTCTGCATTCGGCGGCCGGGTGTGATCCTTGGTTAACCTCATGATGTGTGCTTCCATGATGTCTGCGGTCACGTCGATCATATATATTTAGGTTCTATTTTCACTAGGGCTCCAGTTTTGTAGCTTTGTGCCAGTCTAAGTTTAATAAATAATGAAATTTGTGGGACCTTTTGTTTGATTTCTGCTAGGAATTTCTTTCATTAGCTTCAAAACAGAAGAAGAAAAAAATTAAAAACGAAGCCATAATAATATTTACACGAGCACTGGCCTCTTTTATACAAGTTTGTTTTTCCTATAGTGAAAAAGCTTTAACCAAATTTGGAAATATTTGAGGGAAAAGAAAATGAAAAAGAAAGAAAAGTAAGAAAACTAAGAAAAGACTGCTTTCGACACGTGACCGACCATGTTGTCGTCACCTGGGGGAAGCTTATTTGAAATTGCGAAAAGGCTTCGAGGATGTGTGATATCTACAAGTGGTGGCATAATTTGATTTGTTCTGTCGTTGCATTAAGGCTATAAGTAGAAGAACAGGAATACGAAAAAGAAAAATGGCGAAATATAGTCCACATCTTGAGCAGTCAAACGGAATGAGGAAGGGAAAAATAGCTTTAAATATCCGGAAAATAATAAAAGAAGATAGAAGTGAAGAATAAGGTGAGAAAATGAATAAAAACGAAAAACGGCAGCGTATTATCTCTGCCTGTTCCAAAGCACACAAAATCACACCTAAATAAAGGATATATATATATATATATATATATATATATATATATATATATATATATATATATATATAAGTATGTGTGTGTAATATTTATTTATCAGCCTGTTAATATCTATCGTATTCTGTTTAAATCTGTCCATCGCAGCCTGCTCGAATCTATCTCTCTATCCGTTTATATCTATCTATCTATCTATCTATCTATCTATCTATCTATCGCAGTCTGTTCACATCTATCTATCTCGCTTTCTTTCTCTCTCTCTCTATCTGTCTATCTATATATCTATCTATCGCAGTCTTTTCATATCTATCTATCTATCTATCGCAGTCTGTTCATATCTATCTATCTCTCTCTCTCTCTCTCTCTCTCTCTCTATCTATCTATCTATCTATCTAAACTCAGTCTGTTCATATCTATCTATCTATCTTTCTATCTATTTACCGATCGATCGTAGTCTCTTCAATTCTATCCCAATCTTTTGATATCTATCTGCTGATTATCTATCTATCTATCTATCTATCTATCTATTGCAGTCTGTTCATATCTATCTATCTATCAAGCTAGCTAGATAGATAGATAGATAGATATTAACAAACAGCTAGCTAGCTGTTTCTTAATATCTATCTTTCTGCCTTAGTCTGTTCATATCTATCTATCTATCTATCTATCTATCTGTTAATATCATTCTCTATATATTTATTTCTAGATATCTATGTGTCTAAGTCCGTTAATTTCTATATCTATCTATCTCAGCTTTTTAATATTTGTCTATGTCAGTCTGTTAATATCTATCTATCTATCTATCTATCTATCTATCTATCTATCTATCTATCTATTTCAGTGTATTCGTATATATCTATCTTTATCTCAGTCTATTCATATCTATCTATCTATCTATCTATCTATCTATCTATCTATCTAAGTCAGTTCATTTCTATGCCTATCTGTCTATTTCACTCTGTTAATATCTATCTGTTTGTCTTCCTCAGAAGAGCTATTGTAAGTATTTACATTGTGAAAGCCTCTAGATTTGGAGAGATGAGTTTCTCAAGGGAATCCCCTGAAAACTGAGATATTCAGAAAAGGCATGGCATGTGGAACGAGAACAACTTAACCCCCCCCCTCAAGTGGACTAAATAAAATGTTCGGTTGGAAATTCCAACCTATATCACCTGAAGAACTCCGGAGCTTTTAACAGCCGAAACATCGTAAATATTACAATAAATTTTTTTTCATATATATATATATATATATATATATAGACAAACCTCACATCTACGGTCCCTCCTCACCAGCGGACTTCGGACCCAACAGACAAAATTTTCAGGCAAAATAAAAAAAAAATTTCTGCAGGAAAAAAAAAAATTCTAAGTCGTCAGCGATGTATATCCAAATTTGCGGGCTTATCGGAACGAGTCATATTAGTTCTCAAAGTGACCGCTTGTAGGAGGTGGCGGGCTTTTCAATTGTAAACAAAGATGGAAAGTACGATACATTAGCGTGTACGTGAGAAAGTGGCTGTGAGAAATCTATTATTTTTCTTATTTTGATTAATATATCTATATTAAGTATATATTTATTTATGCCATATATACATGTTTATAGTATTTACATTATCATGACTACTGGTAGTTACTATAGTGGTTTTATAACTAAAAAATAATCCTTTCCCATCTGTGGACAATTGGCTTTAACGGTCACCCTATTAGTCTGTTGTTAAGGGGTTTATATATATATATATATATATATATATATATATATATATATATATATATATATATATATATTATAATAAACGTGCAATCAATTTACAAATACATGAATTATTCACACAAAACTAATGCAAAGGTTAATGATTTAAATGGCGAGACATCCATCATCGCAAACAATTCAAATAGTATACAAAAACCTCCAGATCCGTTATGAATG